GCAGTCTTCCAAGCACTGGTCTGCACCATCCCCTCCCCCCACGTACACTCGTACAACAAACACTACAGCTGATCGTTGACGCTCCGTCGTTGCCGATTGTAACCACATCGGTGAGTAAAATCAGTCCGTGCCTGGCCGCTCTGGCTGGCTGGCTGGCCCATTATTTCCCCCCGCTCGACCGCATTACGGCTGCCGTCCTGCCTTCTTTCGATTCTGTCGCTTCTGGCAGTCCGGAAGGCGGCGTGCCGTTGTTCCATGACACACCTCCCCTTGTTCTCCTCGATGCGAGTGTTCTCGTCGCTGTGTTCGATGGCGACGAGTTGGCTCGTAGTAGAGCGGCAAAGGCGGCGGCTGGGATCAAGCTAGACTGGGATGACCGGGCTGGCCGCGCTGGATCCGTCTGGGATCGGCTGGATCCGAAGATCCGAGTTCGCGGGGTTCGCGGGCCTGCGCGAGCCTCGAGCCTGGCCGGTGACCTAGCTCTTCCCCCCTGTGCCCTTGTGCCCTCGTGCGCTACCGGTGCCCGGCCCGTGGCCCGCGACTCCAGCTCGTTGCATCATACATGCGACCCAGTGCACCCGGTGCAGCGGCAGTCTCGAAACGCGCGCAGCCTGCGTCCTGCCAGCACACCCACCCACTCCAGCTATGCAACTCATGCAAGCGCTCAGCTGACCTCATTCCCAGACTCCCCCAAGCTCCGGATACTCCTCTGGCAACCCCTCGAACTCTTTTATCAGCTGCCTTTTTGTTCCACGAGCTGACGCCAGACCTACTCGATCACACTTTCCGAGCACGCGACCTCTGCCTCGGGCGAGTCCGAGTGGAAGCCCTTCAACGCCGAGGACCTGCAGCTCGAGTTCGTGATGCTGCTCGACCCCTCGATCCGCACCGCTCTGCACCGCGTGTCCTCCGACTCGACCTCGAGCACATACTCGACCGACTTCATCGCGCCCGACCGCCACGCCTCACCTACGTCGAGACGGCGGACAAGACCTCGGTCGTCCCGCTGCGGCACGACGAGCACCCGCGCTGGATCACGGGCGCCTACCCCTTCTATGCCGGGTGTATCTCCACCGCGGGCGCTTTCTTGCTCTTCGCGTACCTCTGGGTCAACACGGGGGAGCACGACAAGGGCAAGAAGAAGGCCGAGTAGGCGAGTAGAGCCGAGGCGAGCGCAGCGAGACGAAGTCGCAGCGCGGCGATGACGACATGAAGACGTAAAACACTCCCTCAAGAGAGAGGGGATCTAGACTAGAGTATGCATCGAGATGTAGCCTTGCTCGATGTGATGAAGGAGGGTCAGTCAGTCATCGCGTGAGTTGCGGCCAAGTCGCCAAGTCACCTAGTCACCAGGGCCCCTGCTCACGTGTACCTGACACGGCCTGACGCGGCTTGACGGTGTCCGGTGGTTTGACGAACGAGCACCGTCGTTTTCTCCGTGACGTAACTGAAACCGAGCCTAGTCCGCTTCAAACCGGCTCTTGTGACAGACCTAGCGCAGCCTGTCGTTCGGTAGGCTGGTACCGTAGTGATGAAGGTGTGAGAAGAACGGGATTGTGCGCGGCATGCAACTCCCATCCCCTCGAGCCTCACCGCTCACGAAGTATTAGCACCGGTGCAGGCGGGGTGCGGCGTGCAGCAAGGGAAGTTCGGATGAATCCTCGATGCGAGCTATGCGAGGTCTGTAGCCAGGCCGTCCCAAGCTAGGGTAGAGAAAGTGGAGGAGTGGGGTGGGCTTGAGCGAGATCGACACGGCCGCACAGAGAAAGCGCGCCCCGCGCATGGTGCCTTCACAGCGCGCAGCGCGACGCAATAAATGACGCGCCCGCGAGGTCCGCAAGGTCCGCAAGGTCCCGCGCGCAGCGCGTGCAGCGCGGATTTGGCAGGTAATGGCAGAATTAGGCTTTGACACAGTGACGACCCAGCCATGCCCAGCAGGCATAATCTCGCAGATCGCAGACACAGAGCGAATGACCCAAGGGATAATTACCCAGTCGAGGTATTTCAGGACCTTGGTACGATTATTTCACTCAGGCACTCCACCTCCGGGACTTTCCCTGGCCCTGGGCCCAGCGGGCCCAGGGGGTCCAGCGCATGCAGCGCAGAATCTCAGAACGTCGACACTGGGAACGGAGGGGGCGCTCGACGACGTCACGTGCGAGCCTGGCGAGCCTGGGGTGGTTTCAATGAGGTCATGCTTTGTCTGCCAATAGAGTTGGGCCTAATGAATGATTACAAGCGAGCGTGCGTTGCTAGTTGCTAGTTGCTGGAACTAGTCTCGTGCTCTGGCCCTGCAGCCACGCTAGCCACGCATTTCATTACTTTTCATGTGCATTTCAGTCATGACAGCGCGACAGCGCTGGCCAGCTTCCTTCGATACTGTCAGCTATTCATGTTGAGTCTGACGCTCTGACGAACGTGGCGACGCTGTGCCACTGGGGACACTGGCCACTGGCCACTGCACTGAGGACACTCGCAGACGCCGCAGACGTATGAACAGGGCAAACAGGGCCACGCAAGCCAGACGACGGCCGGCCGGCGGTACCGTCGTCAAATTCTCCACTGCACGACGCACCGATTGGCCAGATGTCCTCACCCAAACAACGTCGCAACATGAACAAAGGCGCAGACAGGCGCAGCAGCCAGGATGCATCCGGCCGCCCGTAGGGGACCATTAGGGAGAGACCGGGGTACCGTCCTCCGGGTCCGACAAACACACACGGCCGTTGACCGTCACACTCTTTGACGTGACGTGGGCTGACAGAAGGAAGAGGGCATGGGTTAGTCGAGCTGAATCACCTTGATTCAACCTGCCATCCTCACTCCAGACGCCATGAAACGATGGAAAAGGAAGAATCTCGGTCAGATCCCGGTCTGGCATGCATGTGGGAATAAGCGTTGGCCCCGCGCTTCGCTTCGTTCCTATCCGCTGCAGCCGCTGCCTGACATGAGCGAATGCCCCACTGCGTACTGCGTGGATGCCCACATTGTGCGTATGTGCGTACTTGCATGCAGTGAATGATGAATGCGGCAGGAGTGCAGGAGAGTGCAGGGCAGTGGAAGACGGAAGAATGGAAAAAGCGATAGACGCGAGCCGACTGGGCATGACTGGGCCTGGGGGAGGATGCTTGA